CATCCAAGCATTTCCAGCCAGAACATGCAGCTGCGAAATGAATGAGTGAGTTAATATTTTCTATCGCATCGGCAATATTACAGCCATATAGCGATGAAAACAAGGTAATCATTTTAAAAGATCTGCCGACAGAGGACAGTAAAACAAACTAGACTATCACAAATAGATATATTTAAAACTAGTAATTAAATCTAAAACACTTTAACTATAGAGGACGATATAATATAAAAACAGGCTTTAGATTGCAAACAACTGAAGGTAGATCACCACAGCAGGGACCATACGGACTTACAGTGCCTTTGCTACCTGCATGGACCCTAGTTGGATTTAGCTGCGAAATGGAAACGATAAATAGCAGCAAGAATTTTGAGGAAAACATGGTTATAGATTCATCGTCAGCTCTGTCTCGGCTATTGGTCGAAACATGAGTAAATTGTCACAAAATACAGACAGAAAGACAGACAAAATAGTTTATTTATGTTTCACGTGAATGTACATGTCAAAAATGGCAGTGGTAAAAGAACATAGAAGAATACAAACACCAGTCCAGATGGCAAATGAGACACGCTAGACATTATATTATGTGCATAAAATGTATCAAATATAAGATTAAAACATTAAGGAGTATCACACATATGAAAAAACTAGGGAACCCCCCCAAAAAGAGAAAAAGTTATTGGGATGATAGCTTACGCCGATACATACCAACTAAAGCGGCCAGTCGATTAACAATATTTTCTGTTTGTAAGAGGAATGTAGTTTGTTCAGTGTTTGATAACTGAGCAACATTTGGGTGTAATATACTAGATTTTCTAAACAAATCATACCGAAGATCAGAATAATAAGGATAGCTAACCAAGAAATGGACTTCGTCTTCGACAGCCTGACTACTACAGTGACGACAAAGCCTGTCTGCAAGTGGCGTCGCAGGACGAGAAAATCTACCAAGTTCTATTTCTAATGGAAGTGTACCACAACGAAGTTTACCTTGAACGCTACGGTGCCATCTGGGCAGTATAGAAGTTATATATGGTTCTGGAGTAACAGTGTACTTAAACTGTCTACGGTATATGTGCTTAATTTGTTACCGTTAGGATTACCCTGGTCATTCCACAATTCCCGTAGCCACTCCTGATGATCTAACAACTGTATATGTTGAAATGACAAAGTCAATTCACTACTAGACATGTGTAGCAGGTCTTGCACTGGGAGTTGCAACGATTGTTATAAAGATGACACTGTGTTATCCCATGATTTGGCTAAACGCCGTGACCAGCTGCTAATAACAGAAAGCAATCTATCAGGTGCCATACGGTGCAGCTTATACCAAAATCGTAATACTTCTGTTCTATGTTTTGACAAAGTACTATTCCATCCCATATCACCCCTTACTGCCACATAAGGGGTTTTGCTACTTACGCCAATGACAAATATACATGCACGGTTCTGTACTGCGCTTATACAACTAAAATCCTTAGTTCCCCAAAGTGCTGCACCGTAAGACGGAATAGGTTGCACTAGGTGGTTGTACAACGTATTAAAGACGCTATAAGCCATACCTCCCACGGACTTAAACTTACACATTACCAATCCCAGTGCGCGATTAGCAGACTTCGCTATTTCTTTAGCAGTGTAATTTAAATCAAGATAATAAATTCATTCTCCTCAAGCCAAAGTCCCAAATAGGCGTTAGTGTAATCAACATAATCATCACCAATCATAAAAACAAATTTAGATCTCATAAACCGTTTAGGACGATAATGAATAACTTTGGTTTTCTGAATATTAACAATAATTCGCCAGCGGGAGCACCAATCAGCTACAATATACAACATTCTCTGCAATGACACCTCGTCAGGGGCGATAAGTGCTATGTCATCTGCATATAATAACAAACTTAACCTAACATCATCAATTTCAATGCCACATCCTAAACTGTTTATCTCATGGGCAAGGTCGTTCACATATATTGAGAACAACGTCGGCGACAACCCACATCCCTGGTGAACGCCGGAGATTACAGAGACAATATCTGTGTATTCATCGTTAATACCGACCCGGGCCGAGGTCATACATGGACTGAACTGCGTGTAAGAACTTCCCGTTAATGCCAAGCTGCAGTAGTTTATACCAAAGACAGTGTCTGTTTGTCTTTTCAAAAGCCTTCATAGCATAAATATAGCTACACAAGTGCTCTAAGGGTCCACGTTTAGAGCGAAAACCATTTTGTTCATCCACTAAAATCTTATTCGCTTTTAGCCAGGAACTAAGTCTAGACTTAAGTATATTCGCATACATTTTACAAGGGACTGATAACAAAAAAATACCTCTATATCCCAACGGGTCACGGGGTTCATTGTCAGGTTTCCTAATAGGATTAATAATGCTGTGACGCCATGCTTGGGGGCAGATATTATTATCCAAACAGTAACTGTAAATACGAAAGAGGATATCAACGCAAGCCTTGTTCTTCAACGCCTCAGCCGGTATACAGTCGGGCCCCGCCGCCTTCCCATGTCGTGCACGTGCAATAGCACGCTCGACCTCTGCTCCGAGCATTATCAGCGTGTTTATATAATAGTCGTTACTGCTCCTTCAACTGATACTCCCGTTTAGCCTTGCGTAGCTGCTTGTCGAAAGCTTTTCTATGACTGGTATAGATATGGCGAAGTTTCCTTCGCAATACAAAAGATTTACAACGTAACCGCTCACGCTCGGCAGCTTTAGCGTCATCCCACAGTGACTGTAGATTCTCAGCTCATCCGCTCCCCGCTCCCAGTTTGACGCCGCTGTGGATGAATCATCAGACGGTTCTCTCCCGGCTTCCCAACATTTCTTAAAACAACAAGTTCAGTCAGGCAGAGAACAATAGGGGGATTAGCTGGGGCATTCCGATTTGTTGCTATAGTACTAATTTCCCTTATCAGTGTAACACATGTTCACCAATCATGTCCAGTTCACCATTCGCTGTCAATAATTACATGATACCTCAGAACAATATTCATCTAATCCTTCATCATAAGGAATGTCTGGGTTTTTTTAAACATCCTATGTTCAAGCTCTATGGCAATCGGTTTTGGATTATCAAGTCTGACCGAGACAATTACGTGATTGATACAGTGAACATCAGTCTTTACAAGAAGGTTACGATGACATGCATCAAGCATTTTACTATACAATCTTGCAGAAGACAAAATCTGATCTCAACTGGCACAACAATAGAAAATAAGACAGATAAGAGCATCCTTCTAAAACACAATTGCACTCAATGTTTTCGAACAACCATTACCAACAACATTTAGATGCAAAGCTTAGGGTCATGCTTTCAAAAGAGAGAATTCAACATGATTGTTTGTATATTCAAGATGATAAGCTGGAATTATTTTTTACTTTACCACTCCCTAATGACAAGGATCCGACAAAAATAGATACATTTTATATTGTCAATTTAAGTGCACTGGTGCTGTTATTTGGCATTTATACGAGACATGATTTGGTGTGTTGATCCATTAAAAACAGATTTTCAGTGTTAAGACATTTGCATACCTTGAAGACAGCATCATGAAAAGATTTTTCCACTTTGCTGTTGGGTAATCTGTCATCACTTATTCTGTTAATCTTGATAAAAACTCTAACAGCTTCCACTCTGTGCTCAGTGAGGTATGACGTCCATCATATTTTACCGCGTACTGCGCAGCTTGATGTGTTTCGTGGCTGACCCACCGAACAAGATTATTTCCTTCTAAAACCAAACTCTTGGAAATATGTGATTGCTTCATAACTTTGACAGAGGCAATATAAGACGACCAGTATGTCTCCTCTATGGGAAAAACATCCATGCCGTCACATCAGGGAACACAGTTACATTCAATGTTTCCGAACAACCATAACCAACAGGATTTAGATGCAACGTTCAGGGTCATGCTTTCAAAAGAGAGAATTCAACATACATGTAGTTGTGTGTTTGCTTGTTCAAGATGATAATCTGGAATTATGTTTTACATTACCACTCCCTAATGACAAGAAGCCGACAAAAATTAAAACCATGTTTCTATGGTCTGTAGGAGTGCACTGGCGCTGTTATTTGGCAATTTTGTATCAATGGTGAAAGGTACCAAGTAGGTAGAACTGGGCTCGAACAGGACCTGTGTTTACAACTCCACAACGTATAGATACAATTCCTGGTGTTCTACGTTGTGATGCTGTTGGAATATTGGCAAACCGATATAATTCAGTACCAGTAAACTCATGCAAATAAGTCATCAATGAGTGAGTGAGTGAGTTCAAATTTACAGTCACTTTGGCAGTATTTCAGCCATATCGTGACTAAAACAACATATAGATTAACAATAATTAAAGATAGAGTATAAAATCCTGCCAACGAAGGACAGTAAAACAACTAGAATATCACAGATATAAATGTAAAACTAGTAATTAAATCTAAAACATTTTAACTATAGAGGACAACACAATATAAAACTAGGCTATAGATCACCAACAACTGAAGGTAGATCACCATACTAGGGTCCATGGGGACTTACATTACTTTTGCTAAATATGTCTTCAAGCGACTGCGTTTTGCAACAGTGAAAACCCCGTATCAGGCATTATACCAAGTTCTATTTCAAATATTAGTGCTAACGTCCTGATCGCATAATGTTATAGCGAATCTATTTTAAAATCTCTCACAAACCATATTTTGCCCAATTTCCTGGAATATGTGCATTGACATAATGTGTCACAATGACAGTGGTTTTAGATTACAGTGTCCTTCCTCTTTTGTTATAAACCCCTGTTGTCAGTTATACTCTTTGGCAATGAAAGCCCAGCAAAGCACAACCTCTCAAGAAACAAAATATTACAACCTATAAATATAACTCTGACTGGATCATGTTGACCTACCAAAGAGGATTATTTCGTTACAATGAATATGCTTGTGTGCTTTGTCCGTGTGTTGTTGGTGACTACCGACATGAAGTCGTTTGTAGGTCACATCCGTAATGTGTGTGTTGCAAGCTCATTATATTCTATTCACTGGAGCGTTACCTGTCTGACAGGGTATACACAAAGAAAATGCTTTAACAAATTTTAGAGTTACGCTGTGAGGTGATCTACTAACGTGAATCTTGCATTAAAACTCTTGACGGCGACAGGACGCCATTATGAACGTCCCTTGTTTCGTTGGAATAAGTGTGTGGTTGTTCGGACCGCTGATCTCAGGTGAGAGGGACATGTATGCGTTCTCACTTATATTATATATGTTAACTGATAATTTGTCAAAAACGTGTAAATAGGTTGTACATATTACAACACTACTCGATCGTTTCTTTAGGTCACGTACCCGTGAACATCCGGGATAGAATTGATCTTCAGTAACCCATGTTTGGATCGGGATCGGGTGGTCAGGCGCGCTGACTTGGTTGACACATGTTATCGTACCCCAATTGCGTAGATTGATGTTCATACTATTGATCCCTGGATTGTATGGTCCAGATCCGATTATTTACAGACCGCCGCCATATAGCTAGAATATGAGCAAAAGTAATCTCACTCACAAATTCTTAAGGTCAGGTCAAGTCTATTTATTGTCTATAGGCCCCAGGCCAGTATACAACATATATACACATTTTGCATACATTTACACAATAGCAAAGGTTGAGTTTATAACACATAGTTGTAATGATACAGTACATTGTCAAGTCATACAAAAATATATGTCTTAATAAATTGTCAAGTATTTTGATTCTCTTAGTTCATATGCATGGTATAAATATGTACATAACTGTCTTAGCAGTGTGTCGTTATTAGTAGTTAATAGGGATTTCGACTTATGATAATTAGGCTGTTGACAATATGTAGATGGTAAATATTTTGATCTAAGAGCATTATAGACATTACAAGCAAATGAAAAGTAGTAGTCATCTTCTACTCCAAAATTGCACAATGGAGAGTTGCGTTCCGTTACATAAATATTTTGCCAGCTACCTTCATTATAATCTTAACAATCCACATCTAAATTTATTCAATATTTTACGGAGTTTTCTGTCGACAATACATGATAAATATTTTTCCGGGAGCTAAAAGACTTTAAATTTTCTCTATATACAATATCGTGAGCTGTTATTTAATATACACACCCATGACTGGAACAAAACATATTGATTGCAACTGATTTGAATGCATTTATAAAAGAAGCTTTATCACCGAAATTATGAGAAATCCAAACAGGACCAAAACCATGTGAAAAAGGAATATTTCTTATATATGAAACATATGTATTATATCCCCAGTTATCATAGTATATTTGCATTTTATAAACTTCAAGGAATCTTGTCTTCATTCATACAATTGATGTTTAACCAATATTTCAAGGTTTGACACAACGCGTTTATAAAAAGAAGATACCTTCCACACTCACCGTAGACGCAGCGGTAGGGGTTTCTGGAGTTACACATAAATATCTTTTACAAGCTATCAAATGAACCTTTTCTATTTGATCAAATTTATGCATTACCCATATTTCAGCCCCATAGTGTAATGCTGGTCGTATCTGTGTATAAAATATTTTAAAAAACACACTCGGATCTTTAATTCCAATTTTGAGATTAGTTATTACTTCCATTAAACCTCTTTTACCGTTTAGTGCTAGATCATTAGCACAATTTCTCATTTTAAAAGTTGAAGAAAATATTACAACTAAATCTCTATAAGTATTAACTGTTGTTATTGGCTCATCATTCAAAAAAACACTTTTCGTTTCTCGCTAGGCGACCAACCCTTCTGAAAACAACAACATTTGTCTTATCTAAATTAATTTTCAAGCACCAGTATTCAGAGAAATTGTGCAAAATATTGAGCTGATTTTGTAACCAAGGAATTATATCATCCATCCTGTGTCTCAGGTATTTTATTCCAAATATTTGCCCATTTCGTGATACGAACATTTAGAATGGGTGTATATAATTTGCTTAACATACGTAGCAAGGTGATTCCTCTGTAATTATCTGGATTTGTCCGATCACCCTTTTCATGCAGAGGGATAATTATTGTCCTTGACCAAGTAACTGGAAAAGCCCCAATATTAAAGATATTGTTAACAATGTATTATTTCAAAAATTGCATGATAATATTTTCAGATGATTTTACAATTTCCACAATAACCCCATCAATTCCAGCTGACCTCTGAATTTTCAAATGGCTAAGACAAGAACTTATTTCATCCTCAGTAAAAGAGATTCAAGAGTGCAATTATCAATCTCGTTTAAAGGTTTATGGTCATCAAAGTTAAAATCATTCTCTGTCTTATCATAAACATGCTTGAGTGTGCTAAACAAATCTTTAAACTGGTTGTATAAAACAGATTTATCCACAGTACAACATGCGTTTCGAGCGTGATTCAAGCTTCACTAACTCTTTAGGTCACACTACACAGTGCCTTGTCAATCGTAGTACTATTTGATCCATAGTTAGCATGACAAAGGAGACAAGGCATAGATCTTTTATATTTGAGTCTGTCCCGGGAAATGTTTTGTATGTGGCAATCTCCTTGGTTTAATAGCGCATTTGTAAACAAGATATTGTCGACACGGCCTGGCTCTTATATAAAACAAGATGGCGGACACGATATAACGTACAGGGCTGATCGTGCTTGGGTCGGTGAAGATAGCCGCTGATGGGAAATGCATAACTATATGTGTGTGTAATTATATCATATTATACAGTTGTTGACAGCATAATAAAATCTATAAAGGTGTTAATACCATAATTAATGTAGAGCACATCACGGAAAATGACAGGTACAAAAACAAATAGGAAAAGGCCCGTATTCTGTCCCAAATGTACCCAAGCCAACAAATTTGATCGTGACCTTGCTTGTTTGTTTGTTTCGCGTTCTTTTTGTTTTTGTTTTTTTTGTTTTTTGTTGGTCTCTTTTGTTGTTGTTTTGGGGGCGTTTGTTGACTCCGCACTCAACAATAATCAATAATTACGGCGGCAGTCTGTACATAATCGATTTTACAGAATGTATGACAATAGCATCTTTCATTATTTGTCAGCACCAGCGCAACCGCTTACGGTTTCATTGAATTGCCAAGAACTCACGAACATGTCATTTTACATGGGTGACATTTCAAATAGAAGCGACAAAACCCTTTCCTCATCCATATGCCTGAAGCAGAATCGATTGTGCAATTGTTATTATATCATGAGCATACATTTGTTTCAGCAGCAATACAGCTATATGATGTTTTTTGTAAACAAATCTGAACCAGACAAGCTAGTGATTCTATCCCAGCGATACGATGGCAGAACACGTGAATCACTCGTTGGCCCCAACGATGTGCTACTTGCTGAATTACCTGTTGTTGTTAATTTGCTGCTTGTCGCTATGCATATATACTTCTATTTACCTGGTTGTAGTAACTTTTATCTTGATAACGGCGTGAGAATATACATGGAAACTCCCCTCTATCGACCTTTGGTCCAAACGGATGAGTTAAGAAAAAAGGTCGATGTCCCGTCCGTTAGCAATTAACATTGGATTATAGAGACAATGATTGGCCTACGTGTTGATAGAAGCGGATATTCCGGATTATGCGAATGGGAGCACACCTAATGAGAAAACGAGCCAAATATATGTATAAAGATAGTGTTTTATTTCAGTCTCAGTTCACTTAGCATATATACATTGAAATATAAAACAGATGTAAAATACATAGAAGGCGTAAGCCATGAGTGGTAACGGGAGACTATATGGATAGATTTTATTTAATCATGCTACAACATGCTACATTTTACAGGAATTATAAATAGTTATATTACATCATATTACGAAATGTTACAAAACATTTCAAAATTTTAAATATACATACACATTTATAAGTACATTATAAATATATTGAGGTTGTGAAAGGAGAGACGCTGAATCAGCAAACTGTCTAACAGTTAACATTCCATTTTGAAACTGGTGTCTCAGTTTTTTAAGACAACGTTCCAGGTATCGGTATTTCTTCTTCGTGGGTTGTCTTTGGCCTTCGTCAGATTGCACCAATGAGGTGTAGGAATAAACTTATGTTCAAGTTGAGCATTAGCCATTTCGAAATCGAATGTACACTTTCATGCTTCTTCTCATTATATATCCACATGTAATTAGAGGGGAACTGATCCAGAGCGATTAATGTTTCTCACCAACAGCCTAATTACCAAACCAAACTGCAAGCTGGTCTGTATCTGCTCCCTCGACCGTGACGGACACAGGGACTGGGCTTCTGGCCACCTTGACAAAATTTCTTCAACCCAAACAGTGGGACATTGTTAAGGGTGGATGCTCATCAGATGATGTTATTTGAGAATACCCCCGGTAGTTCCTGTCTGATTGCAATAAAGTATCCCAGCAGTGTATGCCTTTCGGGTTTTCTAATGCATGGATGGCATAGTGACTGATCCAATTTGATCTTATTTCTGTGTTTTTTCACCTCGATATTTAATCATGCCATGTAAACATATGGTGTCTATTACATATTATATTTATGACAAATGAAAATTTACTTAGGTATATAAAATTTTAACTTCAGTACACATCAAATGCTTGTATGTATTTCTTATGCAACAATGAAGTTCCGTTCGTATCCTCCAAACAGTGTCGGCCCACAAGTTTTTTCAGGCAATTAACATTGCATGCAATTCATCAGCGATTACTACTCCCTTTGCTGTAACCAGTGTTTGGTGGTATAAACCTATACATGTTATTTGTCATCATTCACGTGATGGTCAGTTAATGAATTTATAACAGGTATGATGGTAATACCACTCAGATTACCCGACAAAAGGTTCCCATTTCTTGTGTCTGGAGTAAATATTCAGCTTTATGAATTAAGGTCTGATGTGACAAATGTATGACATGTTATGTAATATGCGCATGGAAGTGCAGCAAGACGAATAATCATCTGAGATACAAAAACAAACATTGATCAAAGGATTAACCGATAACACGCGGATTGACTAATTACTTTTATCTTGCACAGCGGATTTGTCAAATGTAGTGTTTATGTATGTAGATTTACTCATCTATACTGATTACACCCTGTCGTAAACAACATTTTTCCTAACCGCCAGCACGTTGATTGGGGTGTTCCTCTTTTGCCAGTCGGGTAAGTTGTTTATTTAAGGCGTAAGAGGATCACCAGACCATGTTAATTAGCAAGACAATGGTAGTGGTGGGT